ATTAGTCACGACACACGCAACACAACACTACACACGATTCAGGTGGGTACCATCGGTGATGGCCGCGGGAACGACGAAGAGGTTGGGGAAGCGCGGGTAGCGGAAGTCGCGGTTGAGTCTAGTGATGCGCCACTGCTTGTCGGGCGTCTGCTGCCGTTTGAACTCCGCCGCCGCGTCGTAGACGCAGAAGCCGGACGCGTTGACCGGCGGCGCCGCGGCAAAGCTCTCCTTGTTCTTGTAGGCAAACAGGTCCCTGCGCTCCACAAATACCAACATCGGCGCCGGTGAGCGTGTGCGACGTGCGCGATGTGCTGTGAGTCTGAGAGACGTGTGCTACGCGTGCGGTGTGTGTCATGTAAATGTCGTACGATAGCTTGGCGGGACACAGGCGCTGTTTGAAGATAGCCGAGATGGCCTTGTGCAGCTCGGCGGTGAGGAAGAAGACAGAGACGGACCGGAAGTCCTTGCACTTCAGCGCAAAGCCCGGCAAGTCTTGTTCGGCGTGGCGCACCTGTTCCACCTTCATGACCATCGCTAACGGCACACAGTCGCTCATCTCCTATTTTGGTGTGCGTGTGCGTGTGCGGTCGTGCGTGCGCATGTGCGTGTGCGTGTGCGATTATGACAGATCAGAACTCGAAGAGTTGAGCGGTGACATCGGGCCTAATGGTACCTGCGCGATAAAGATGAGGCGGTAGTTGGTCACCCACAGCGCACCGCGCCTGCAATCGCGCAGGGCGTGATGGGCGACCAGCACGTCGGGCTCCGTGCTTCCACCCCCGTGCAGCAGCTGCTCGCCCGCTATGAGCCCACTCGCGTCACCACCTGGCCTCACAGGTGACACGCTCTTATGTCAGTCGACTGGTCTTTTAACTCCGAACGAAAGAAAGCGAAGCGCGGTACCGGAGCTGTGAGGAATAGCGAAGGCCCCGGGCGCTGCTCCCGAAGTCGACATGTCGCGCCCTTGGCTTGCGCTCTTTCTGCGGAGACGACCGAAGCGCGATGACTTGGTCGCGGAAGAAGGTGATGATAACGATGATGAAGTAGACGACGCTGTGGGCGACAGCGGCGGCGACAGTGACGGCGGTGAGGCTGAGGCCTTGAGCTGCGCGCGGGCGTCGCGGATGGCGTCGACCCACTCGCGGGCCGATCGTTCGTCGCGCGCGGCCATGACATACACGCGCCCCTCCGTCACCACCTCGAACAGCACCCGGCCCTTGGCGGCAGTCTTCTTGCCGTCAACTACCACCAGCCGAGTGTCCTGCACCCTGTCCAGCGCGATCGAACCTCGCTCCACCACGTCTACCCGAAAAGAGAATAATTTTTGTTTAAAATAAATAATATAATAAAACCAACAGCGCGAGACACACAAAAATGGAAAGTGCAATTAAAATAAATAATGAAGGAAAATAAAAAGTAGTAAGTGACAAAGAGCGGGCACCGTGTTTCCTCTTTTTGGCGTAGACGAGGGCGGTGGGGGTGAGGGTGAAGTGCCGCGTCTGCCACCGCTTGCCAAGTGTGCCCGGCGACTGCTTCTCCAGGTCGCCCTCGCGCACCACCTCGACCGCCCCCCACCCGCCACCGCGCGTGTCACCGCCTGCCCCGCACCGCCCTCCTTCGCAGCCGACGCGTCCATCCCCTCCCTTCTTCGCTCTTTCTCTTCTCTTTCGTTCTTTCCTTGGCCCGCGTCGGCAATGCTCCAAAAGGCGAACTATGTTTTATTTGTCGACCGATCTGCCAGCGAGAAGAAAGGGCGTACGTAAAAAAAGGTCAGTCCTGTGCTGGCTTGGTGGGCGTGGCCGCCGGCGGGCTGGGCGGGCAGCCGCCGGCGCGGATGAAGCTGAAGAGCCCCCAGCCGAGGAGCAGGTGGTAGAGGCTGAACATGACGGCGCAGGCGGTGGTGATGAGCCCGGAGGCGAGAGGCTGGTGGGCGGCCCAGGCCTCGACCAGGAGGTGATAGCCCAGCAGCGAGAGGTAGCCCAGCCGCAGGACAACAAAGCCGACGAAGTGGGTCACCAACAGCGGTAGCAGCAGCTTCGACTCCTGCCACGGGGTCTTGGGCACCACCTTCAACACGAAACGACACACACACCACACACATACACACGTCTTCAGATGTCGTGGGCGAGCACTGGTGCGATTGGGGAAGAGGGCAGACCTTGCTAAAGATGAGGTC